AAAAATTAAACAAATATTTTTTTTTAAATGGCTTCATGGACATCTATTATTTTATTCTAAAATTAATAATTATTTTGCATGTTTTATTCTAAAAACTAAATAATTATTTATTCTAAAAATTAAATTAAAACAAAAAAGGTAAATATGTATCAGAAAATTTTAATGAATTTATGGGCATAATAGATGAAATAATTATTTTGCATATTTCATTCTAAAAACTAAATAATTATTTATTTTTATTGAAATAATTATTTTGCATGTTTTATTCTAAAAATTAAACTAAAATTTAAAAAGTAAATATGTAACAGAAAAATTGAATGGGTTTATGAACATAATAGATCATCCATATATTTATTGTAAATATTTATTATTAGAATTTTATCATAGCAAAAAATTAAATAAATAAATAAATATTTATAATCTAAAAATAAAAATAAAAAACAAATTAAATTTTTCTTATGATATTTCAATATATTGATGTCATTCTTAGCTCTACAACATACTCAACCTATAGGGTTAGATCAATATATTATATATTATTCTAAAAATTAAAAAAATAAAAAAATCAATTATTTAGAAGAAATTTAAATTGATCTATAGACATGATAGATCATCCATAAATTTACAACATAATCAATATTTAGAGGTAGATCACAAAAAAAAAACCTAAAATTTTCATTTTTTTTCAGATTTTTAATATTCTAGAAAATTTTCAAATATTTACAAAGATCTATATATAGGAGCAAAATAAATGGGACTTTTTGCACAAGAATAACATATCAACATACATAAATATGTTTCTAAGAATCCAAACTAAAAAAACACAAAAACATTGTCTGAGATTGTAAAAAAATTGAAAAAACATACATATTTTCGCTCATTTTTTAACAATCTTGAAAAACTTGTTGGATCTTGGAAATTTGTGGATGTTTTGGTGGATTTTGGCTAGATTTCAATCTCCAAGAATGGTATGAAGGTTTCTAGAGGGTTTTGGGAAGAAAGAGGGCTTCTAAAATGGGTTTAGAAGCCCTCTATGGAATGAAGTTTTTTTTTGTTTTCCGCAACAGTAAAATCACACTGTATTGGCCGATACGTATCAGCCGATACAACACTGAAATAGGCCGATACTCACCGAAATGTTACCGATACGGGCACGATATGTTTCCAGAATGGTGAAAAGGAACGGTACTAAAGATTTAGTATCATTCCCCGTGCCGAAACCTCAGAGATACAATTCGTATCGGCTGATACAGGCTGATACGTAACAAAATTTTGAACCTTGAGTATAGGCTCTAATATCATTTGATACATGCCTTAGGAGAACTCACTCCTAAAAGCTAGCTGTTAGAGGGAAGAAACTCAAGCACATAGATACCCCACAACAGCATCCCATACTACTAATGTATGATACCTCACATTAGCATCCCATACTACTACTGTGGGACAAATGGATCATAACATCTTGTTCATCCACTACGATCAGTTATGAGCATGTTTTTTAGACCTAGCAGCACTGAATGGCTTGCAGTGGGGATTTTCATACGAGGATATTGTCTATGGCTGCCCCATCATCTGCAATGGAATTATTTATGGGAAGTTAATAAATACATGGAGCCCCATGAGGAGTGACACAGACACTGATCACATTCAGGAATTGGAAATCAACCCCCTACAAGCATGGGAAGCAAGCTGTGCAGTAGAAACATTCCTGGTTGAGTCTTGTGAGGACCCATATTTCGTTCGGAAGCTTTTCCATGGAGTAGAAACCAGCTGCCCGGTTTGGGATTTTGAAATTTTTAAGATGGATTTATCTATTATGACAGGGCTGGTGGTGGAAGATATTGGGGACTAAGTAAATTAAGATATGAAGCAGAATAAAGTAAAATCTAAAATAAAATTAAACAAGAATTTGCATTTTTGTACATTTGCACTCCCATATATTTGTACTAATGCAAATAAATTTGCACTGCAACCAAACACAACCTAATGGAGGAAGATAACAGAAGCTTGTACGTACTCGACCTTGAGAAAATTATTTCAGCCACCCTATATGGGTAATGTTTTCTTAAAACTCTTGTAACCAGTGCCCCATATACATACATACATACATACATACATACATACATACATACATACATACATATATATATATATCCAACTCTCAAGTCTCAGACAAACTAGTCCAAGTCTATTTCTTCAGTTCTCTGTTGCAGCCTAATCTTAAGTAATCATAAATTTATTGAAGTTTAGAAATTATAGTAGTTTCTTGTCCATTTAGAATAAAAATATAAATTACGATTGGTTCTCTTTTTGTTAGAAAAATGTTAATTTGTTCACATTTGAAATGTTTATTGCAATGTAATACTTCATACAAGCTGTTAAGATGGTTTTCTAATGTTTTTGTTTTTATTCATTTTGAAATCGTCGCATCATAAAGAAAAATACACATTCTTGATATGTTTTTTTTTTCTTATTTGCAAAGCAAAATATGCTGGTTTTGTTAAGAGAAAAAACAATTCATATTTTTTAAACCATAAAGGCCTTGTTTGGTTTGCTGACACTCGCCTCATTCTATTAATTCTTACCCATTTTAAGAAAGAATGGACAGAAACGAATGGTATGAGAGCATTTGGATAGAAATTTTTGGCCATTGACCTCATTCTTTTCAGAATGAAAGTTGGGTTCATGGAAAAAAAAAGTATATGTATTTCGCAGCATGAAAAAAATCCGTGCTTCACTTTCCATTCTGTTTTTTCTTTTGAACCTCTCTCTCTCTCTCTCTTGTTAGAGCATGAAGGTAAGATGAATCCCTCCAGTAAAGTAGTTGCAATAGTGAAGGTAAGATTGATCCCTTTCTTAGATGGTCAAATTCTTCTTCTTCTTCTTCTTCTTCTTCTTCTTCTTCTTCTTCTTCTTCTTCTTCACTTTTGTACTATTGATTCATTTGTGTTTTATTCAAAAAAGAATGATCATGTGGAGTTGTTTTAGGGCGGTTGTATGCTAGTCTTTATGGGAAGAAAGAAAGTTATGAATTTTTTTCTCAGGCAAGGAGAGAAACATTGAGAACATAATAGAATTGGTCCACATAATGGTGGAACAATGGCTGAAATCCTTGGACTTAATTCATAGATGTCTCCTTGGATGACTTGCTAAGAAATTGGAAGGAGATAGCAAATCCTGCCTAGATTAAGAGGGTTCCAAGTCTTTGGATCTCTCCCCCCTTTGAATTCATAAAACTGAACTTTGATGACTATCTGGTATTGGGGGAGTCTTTTGGAATGAGGAAGGGAATGCCTTAGCGATGTACTCAGGCTCAATTGGAGAAGGTGACTCTCTCAGGGCTGAGATCTTTGTGGCTTTGGAATGAATCCAAAGAGCAAGAGATTTGAACATCATAAGACTAGTAATTGAAGGTGACTCGGAGGTGGTGGGGAGATGGTTAAAGGAAGACAACATTGGTATATGGAATTGCAACAATGAAAGGAAAGAATTTAAATGGCCGATTAAGAACATTGAGATAAAATGCAACTGGGTGGAGAGAACTGCTAACTCATTTG